GCAGGAAAATTCTCATCATCTCCATTTTTAATTAAAGATAGTATAAATATAAATAGTTTGCTGGGCACCGCTGGCTCACGCCTGTCATCCTAGCTACTCAGGAGGCTGAGATCTGAGGATCACGGTTCAAAGCCAGCCCAGGCAGGAAAGTCCATGAGACTCTTATCTCTAATAAACCACCAGAAAATCGGAATGGCGCTATAGCTCAAGCAGAAAAGGGCTCTCCTTGAGCTGAAGAGCTGAGGGACAGCGCCCAGGTCCAGAGTTCAAGACCCACGACTGACAAAAATAAATAAATAAAATTCCAGGAAGCCCTGGTGATGACCCTCACAGCCAGCCCCATGTTGCTGGCCCACTGCTGGGCAGGCTCTGTACGGGAGAAGCTGCTGTCTCTGGGCAGGAAGGACCTGGGGCAGGCAGCAGCGTGAAGTGTAAGGGACCCAGGGCTCCTGGAGGAGCTCCGAGTAGCACCAGCGCCGCACACTCGCACAGCACCCTAAACTCCACAGAACTCAGAGGTCCTCCCAGGCAGGAAACTGAGGTGGCATCAAGTCAGGTGACTTCCCAAGACTACAGCAAGACTGTTCTTTTGTTTTGCTTTGCTTTTAAAAGCATAGGTATTGGCCTTGGTGGGGAAGAGAAGATTGATTCGAGGAGGGTTTTTTTAAGAGAAGCAGGAAGAATGCAAGGTCTGAGAAAGGAAGCAAGGGACAGGGCAGGCAGGGGCACATTTACAGCGTGGGGCAGGGGTGGAGGCTGCTCCCCAGGCTTCCTCTTGGGGGGCATGCTGAAGGTGAAAAGGGGCATGTGTCCAGCAGGCTGGGCAAGAGAAGAACTGTAGCTGCCGAGCAGCTGGCGGGGGGGGGGGGGGGGGGCTGATTGTTTCCCGGCCGTGGAGCAGAGGTCTAGGATTTGGAGGTGGATGATAGTCCCGGAGCAAGAGCGGCAGACAGGGAGGAAGAGGCTGGCAGGGGACAGAAATGCCTGATGGGAAAGTTCTTGGCTCTTGGCAGTGGTGCATCTGTCCATCTGTCTGTCTGCCTGCCTATCTGTCTGCTTGTCTGTTTGTGTGCCATGGGAAGCAGAGCTGAATTCCCAAACGCCTCTCCATGAGCACTTGCCACAGCTGTCATTGAACTTGAACTGGTTTCACAGTGGAGGTTCACAGGAGGAGACAGGCTTGGTGGACACTAGCGGGGCCCAGGGGCAGGCTCCCAGGCTGCGCAGGATAGCAGCTAACTATATGAAACCTGGCCTGTGAGCACCAACATTGAGATCTGGTGGAGAATTCAGGGCCCGTGGATTTGACGACTCCACTTCCTGGTGCCAACGGGATGCCACTCTACCACGGCCTTGCGCACTTTCTGGGGTGAGCGCAGACCACGGGAGCCTAACGTGCTGTAATTCTGTGAGTCCCTGGCAAAGAGGAGCCGGGTTCAGTGACGGGCACCCAGGAGCGGGAGGGAGGCCCGTGTTTGACCGCCAGTGCATGGCCTTGTGTGGAAAGTCACGTGGCAGATGTGACTCTCAGCGTGAAGCCTGCTGGGACTGTCGGCCTACGTCAGCAGCATCTGGAGGGACAGTCTGCTCGGACGCTGGCCTTGCACGTGTTCTGGGGCTGGTGGGGGTGTGAGCTTGGTCTGAGTGTTCCAGGCTTGCCTCACACGCGTGAGGCAGGTGCTCCACCACGTTGGCCACTCGGCCAGACCTTTGACTCCAAAGCTCTTTCTGGCTCCTTGGCATCTGCGCTCCAGGCCTGGCCTTGAGAAGCCTTCACACGGCCCTGGCACGGCCCCTTTCTCCCCTGCCTGGGTTTGTTCCCTGCTCCTGGGGCCATGAGGATGGAGGTCAGCAAGACCCCATTTAACTTGCCCGGCCACCATTGTCACTGTGGCTGCTCCGCGGGGGCCGGCGAGGCCCAGGACTCACCTGGGAAACCCCAGCTGGACACAGGCGATGGTGGCGTAGTGTCCTTTCCAGTCGTCTGCGCACACGGTCCTCCACGAAGCACTCACGAACACCTGGAGCGCGGCGTTCCGGCCGCTCACCCGGACTGGCCGGGCACAGGGAGGGGGCTGTGGTGGCCAGCACGGGCTGGAGGCCAGGGCAGAGGCCGCACCACGGCTTGGCCCGGCCTGACCCACTCCTCACCCCCAGAGCGACCTCAGAGCAACGCTGCTCCTCACTGCCCGCACCGGAGACCTCGCGGAGGTGTGGCTGATAGCCGGGATCCCCCACGGGGCTGGCCGCCTGAGCCCAGCTCGCGTGGGGTGGAGCCCAGCGGAGGGCAGGACGGGATATGCCTGGCACCCATTTTGCAGGGGGGGAGGTTGGCGTTGGTTCTAGAAGCTTCCTGCTGCCGGTGACCTTACCACATCGGAACTCATCCTCCCCATCTTTGCAGTCCGACACTCCGTCGCAGCGAGCTGTCAGTTCTATGCACTTAAAAGACGAGCGGCACCTGTACTTCCCCGAGCAGTCGAAGTGGACTGAGAAGAGGGAGAGAGCCGCGCGCGTCAGTGCCCGCACGCCAGTGCCCGGGCGCGCCAGTGCCCAGGGACAACGACGCCCATGAATAATGAAGCGGTACTGAAATCGCACCCCAGCCGGCTCCCCACGGCCCCGTCTCTGTGCTGAATTCCTGTGCTGACTTCGCCTCGCTCCTGCTATGCAGCCTGGCCCGTGAACCGTGACTCGAGGGGACCTGAGACTCCACGGGGCTCGGGGTCAGGAAAGAAACTGCACGGCCGAGCCTGGGAGCCAGGAGCCTGCCTGAGCTCTGCCCAGCCGCCCCAGCGCCTCCTCCTTCCTTCTCTGGGCCAGAAGCCAGCAAACTCAGGGACCACACGGCTGAGCAGATGGCAAATTAAACTGACCTGCGATCCCGTTGTGGGAGGAGACAAATGAGAACTTGTTCCCTATTAGAGACCCTTCTTTCCATGACCCATTTTCTCAAAAGCCACATGCGCCCCACTAGAGACATTGCTGGTGTGCCTGGAGAGTGTGAATGGACGCCTTTGTCCCCTCTCCCGGGGCTGGCACTCTGCCCTCCGGCCGCGTGGGATCCTGTTTCACCAGCTGCCTTCAGAAACTTCTAGCTGGGCAGGTACCCCAGCGACAAAGCCCTGGGTATGGCCAATGCCGCCCCCCGCCCCCGGCGGGCCCCACAATGGCTCATACAACCCCAAGTGAGCAGCCCGAAAAACACACCAGCTGCCAGTGATTAAGGCCGGACCGCAGCGAGGGCGGATGGGAGAGAAAGCCCGTCCAAGCGTGAATACCTGAGCCGGCATTCGAGAGACTACTAAATAATGCCTGTACTCACTGCCCAGCCCGATGGCCAGCGCCAGGATCAGTGCGATGAGCCCCACAACGATGATCGGAAAAAACTTCAGGGGCAGGAGAGACAGGATCTGGGCGGCCACCGCGTCTGCATCTGGAAAACCAACGTTGGGGAGGGAGGCCCAGAACATTCCATTTTGAGTCACACAAAGCAAAGCTTAGCTCTCGGCTCCCTGTCACCTCTCTGCGGACAATGTCCCCCAGCCAAGGAAGCTGGCCTCCTTAGAGAAAGAGCCACCTTCTCTAGAACGCTGGCCCAGCTCCACCTGTCCTTAGTTACAGGACGGGGGCTGTGGGCTGAACCATGTCCAGAAAGCAGTGGCTGAGGCGCTAACCCGACGGAGCTCTCAAGGTGGATGAGGTCCTCAGGGTGCGCCTGGTTAGGGTGACTCGCGCCCTTCACTAAAGGGGGAAATGGGGCACAGAGCCAGACACGCACAGAGGGAGAACGAAAGGAAGGCGCTCAGGGGGACAGCATGCCGTGTGAAGAAGGAGGCCAAGAACAGAGGAGCACCCTGGGCAAGGCCAGGAGAGACCCCAGGGGATTCCAGAGTGCGCAGGGACCTGCAGAACCCTGGATCTCAGAACCGAGACAATAAGCTCCTATTTCATCCACCAGGGACACCAGCTCAGCACACATCCCTGCAGAGAAATGCCAGGCAGAGTCTTGGTAGGAGAGGAGGTGCTGGGTCCCCTAGAAGTTCCTCAGACAGGACGCAGGCAGATCCTTCAACCCAGAGACACGGGCAGATTTTGTGCCACGCTGTCTCCCCAAGGCTATGCAGAGATCTCAGGAGACACAGTGTCCCTCCTGGCAAGGGAGCACAGCGGGGTAAATGTAACGTCTCTGCAGGTGTGCCTGCAGCTCCTTCACCCGGGATGCGACTGCGCCTTGCCCCGAGCTACAGACCACCGCACTGCCAGCCACACCCAGGCCTCTGGGGGCTCCGGGGAGGGCAGGACCCCTGGCCCACACCACCGGCTGGCCCGGAGGTAACAAGTCCCTTATCTCCGCCCCCTGCTGCCCATGTCCAAGGAAGAACACGCTCTCCTGTGGCTGTCCAGGGCGCTACGGCGTTCACCCAGCCCCGGGGGACACGCCACGATAGAGAAGGCTGCATAACCACTGATGATGGATGGACACAAGGCACAACTTTCAGCCTTTCTGAGAATGACCCCTGACTGGGAATCGGGGTCCGAATGACCGCATTAGCGGGCCCACTGCTGTTCAAAGTGACGGGGAATGCGCAGTCCGTAAGGGCAGGGGGTGGTGAATCAGGCTGACTACTCAGTTGTGTAAAATTGTAAATGTACAACAGAACACTTAAAAATGGATCGAATTGGCTGGGCACAGGACTCCGTAATTCCAAACTCCTCGGGAGGCTTAAGTCAGGGAGAAGGCAGCATGGGGCCAGCTCAGCCACAGACCTCATCTCAAGCAACACACCAGAGGCGGTGGCTCGCATCTATCGGGGGAGGGAGACCGCAGATCAGGCGGCAGTCTGAGGGCGGCCCGGGGCAAAGCTCAAGATGCTGGCAAGGCTCTTTTCTTCATTTGCATATATGTTCATCCAGGCCATATTCTTACTGAAAGGGGCCTATCAGGGCAGCCCTGCTCTGGCTCTCGGAAGCCCCGGCCCCAGCCTCCACCATGTCCCCTCTCAGCTCTGGGAGTCAGAATCCAACGGCCCCCGGGTCCCCACACGCAGGACCCAGCCTCAGCTCATGTCCTCAGACACTCGCTGACGGCCGGTCCCTGCTTCTCCACGCGGGGCGCCCTGGTCACCAAACCAGCTTTCCTCTTTCAGTGGCTGGGAATGGATCGGTGAGCGGCTGCTGGACTTTCATGGGGGCACCGAACCCCTCTGCTGCCCTACAGCTTGTTTGACATGTTCTGCAAGGGAGGGAAGCAGGCGGCCACCAAGTTTGGGGCTTCCTGGAGGGCTCTTGGATTTCCTGGCCGGGGTTGGGCCTCCTCCATGACTGACCGTCTGCCACGGAGCCCCGGTCTCCGAAAACCTCCACACAGAGAGCGAAAACCTCCCCAGGGCTGGCAACAGCGGAGGGCAACGCTCACTTCCCAAATACCCCCTCCCTCCACAGGTTCTGCGGACCCAAGGAGAAGGGTAGGCGTCCAGCTGGCCTGCGAGAGGCCAGGCACACGCCCCCCCCAGCCGCATCCGCCCCTCCCCAGAAGGACCCCACGGTCCCACCTGCTCCCACCTACCTGGCACAACAGGACTTATTTTCAAGTCATCAAGGCCAAAAAGCGATCGGAAGGAGAAGGGGGCTTCAGCTGCGGGAGGGTCATTCTCCCCCATGGTGACTATTTCAGGGCCTCTCGGGCTGGCCTCCACCTCCACCTCCACCTCCTGCACCCCAGAAAGAACAGAAAGCATTCCTTCTCCGGGAACGGTTTCAGCACCGGTGGGTCTCCGTGGGGGTCTAAGATCCTTGACAGCTGACAACACGCCCACCCGGGACCGATTCTTCACAGCTACCTATCTAGTAAGAACTCACTTCTAGATAACAGGGCACACAAAGGAGCATTCGTGTCATTCCACACAAATCTTAACTTTCCCATTGTTCAGCCCATCTTTTTACCCAAAAAATGCATTCGTTCTAAGTAGTTGTATAATTCAACGTGTCATCTGATAAGCAAGCGCATCTGATGGACGCGGCTCCTCCCTCCCCGCCCCCTCCCAGCCCCTCCCCCCTCCCCCCCCGCCCCCCGTCTTACTAGCTTCACGGGATAGACGTTGAGTATTACGACTCCATTCTCCCCATTCCCTCCCTTTGTCTGTCTGGCTCCTGGCCCTTGACCTTCCTCACAAACACCTGGAGTACTGGCTCCCTTCCACTCAGTGTCAACTCGTACGTAGTGAGCCCATCTTAAATCAATCGGATGCACGTCTTCAGAGACCAGCCCCCTGCCACGTAGACGTTACTGATCGCCATTCTTCACACGACGACTTACTTGCCACACACCTTCCTAGATTGTTTCTGTCTTCCCCACAGAAGCTCAATTCTTCATCTACCCACAGGCCCCTACCGTAAACGTAACGACTTGTGATACTCACATGATGTCCCGGTCCCAAAATGTGGAAGGCTGGGAGGGGCGGTATTAGTAGCTTCTCGTAAACACAGTCCTCCCCCTGGCTCACACAGAGGTGACCCAGTTAAGGATGAAAGTATCTGAGCCTCCAGGAGGCCAGCCGGGAGTTACTGACAGCCCCAGAGCCGCACTGGGGCTCTGCCAGAGAGAGGAGTCACCCCTCGAAACAGCGAGGAATCCGGGCCTGCCACCTTCATCCCCCTGACCCTGAGAGCCGCTGAGGGGACCCGGACAAGAAGAGCACTCCCGGGAGAATTCGAATTCCAGCCCTGGAACCTGCTCCCTCCATGGCCGAGAGCTACGGAAGCCCCACAGCTTGTGACTCGGACACTTGGGTCTATTTTTATCGCCTTCCTGCCGTCTGTTATAAAGCCTGGTGTTCCAGATGGAATTACCGGCCATTTAAAACCAACTTAGTTCACGGGGTCTTAGCCGACTCTAAGCCAGGGTGAGCGAAAACTATGGATTTCATTTTCATCACGGGAGTAGCTTACAAGTGTATCATGGAAAATGAGCAAGTTCACCTTTGCCTGTTTGGGGTTTTGATGCTTGCGAATGATCGCCTATTGTGAGCAGGTGGCAAACTAGTTTAGACAAAGAACAAGAATTCCTGGGAAATGTTTCCTGGGAGGTTGGGGGTTGGGGGCAGCCTGCCCTCGCTTACCATTTCTGGACCGGCCATCCTTCCGGCAGGGAGTAACTTCCTCTCTCATTCTAAACCCCAGCGTGCTGGGAGCCGCTGCCCAACGCTGAGTCCGTCCGGTGGGGAAAGAGTTCCCAAGTCACTCAGCCCTGCCACCGTCTCGTCCTCGCGGCCGGCCGATGGCATTGTGGCGGCTCCGTGTAACCCAACCTGGACGTAGCTATCAAGTAGCCCTGGCCGTATGGATGCAGCGGCGGGGGTGGGGAGGGTATCGCCAGCCTGGCAGGGCTCAGCAGAAGAGAGGCGCTGTCTTCGAGCCCCGCCCAGGGCTGAGCGGGCAGCCGCACGGGCAGTGGGCGCCTCGCCGGGGTCTTTGAGCCAGCCCCAGGCTCAGTCCCGCAGCCGCAGCCACAGCCGTCCTGCGCACACTCACGCTGCATTCTGCAGCAGCCTCTGTGTCCTGAGGGGAGGCGTTTCTCCACGGGACCTGCTGCTGGGAAGGGCTGAGTGTCTTTGGAAGGCCTGGGCTAGGCACATAGTCACACGGTACTGAGCTGACCTGGCACAGACTTGAGTGTCTGCCAGGAGACAGGCACAGAGACCCGGAGCAGACAGCAGGGCTGGCCATGCTCTCCCGAGGGGTCTCAGGTGGCAGGAAGTAGCGGTGGAAAGGGACCGCGGGAAGAAGAGGAGGGACACATCGGGACAGGTGGTGAAGACAGACTCCAGGAAGGAGTCTCCCGGTGACAGGATGACGTTAGCCCTGCGAGAGGAGAAGGAGGTTCTTGGGGTGGGAAATGTGGAGACCGCTGGGAGGGGGGACTGCTCAAGGTGTGTCGGAGTCACACACTGGAAGGCTGAATGGTAACCCCTTTGTGCCATGACTCAAAGAGAATTTCCTTTAAAAAAAAATGTTAACTGGGTACTAATTGCTCACACCTGTCCTAGCGACTCAGGATGCTGAGATCTGAGAACTGAGGCTCAAAGTCAGCCCAGGCAGGAAAATACAAAGAGCCCAGAAAAACCCAGCTGCTCTTGAAGAAGGCAAAACACAATTGTAACTAAAGGCACAGAAACGGACACATCATGGACCAGAACAGACGATTACACACACAGTGTGTAACATGCCATCATCACCCTATGAAACTTGGGGGGGGGATGGAAAGATCCTGTCAGTGGGGAGGTAAGGGAGAGGTGGCCCTGCCTCTCAGGAGCACAGCGGGGGCCTCCTCACGGTCATAGCTGCGAGGTCACCGCCGTGACCTGGTCCACGGAGCGCGAGAGACGCTCTTCACCAGTGCAGGTAAATGACAGCTTCCTGAACAGGATATGGGAAACAGTAACTAGCATGCCCACAAAGAGATACAGAAACCAAACAACCTAATGGGGGAAAGAAATGAGCAAAGATCTGAGCAGCACTTCCCCTGGGGCGTACTAAATGGCCAATAGGCTTTGGAAATGTTGTGAAATATCCTTGCAATTCAGAGAAATGGAAATTAAGCCACAGTGACACATCACTTCATGCCCACCAGGCGGTGCAGCCACCGGAAGCTTCCTCCTCTGCGACTGAGGAGACAAATGACCACATTTGCCCAAATATGTATCAACAAGGAAACAGACAAGTGAGTTACGCTACTCTTGTTTCATATAACGCTACACAGAAATGACAGCAACCTATATGCGACCGTGCAGGAATTTACAAATGCATTTGGAGGCAAAGAAACTAGCTGCGAGGGACTGGAGGAGAGGAACTCACGGTAGAGCACGTGCCTAGTGTAAGCGAGCCCCAGGGCGTGATCCCTACACTGAAAAATAAAAAGAAGAAAGAGCACGTGTTCTAGTCATCTGCTCAGTGAGAAAGTAGCGTGGTGATTTCCTTCCCAGGGAACAGAGAATATAAACATGAGGAGGTCATGCTTCTGAGATGCTTAGAAAATTCTAGAGTAAGCTGGGCACCAGTGGCTCACACCTGTCATCCTAACTACTCAGGAGGCTGAGATCTGAGGATCGAGGTTCCAAGCCAGCCCAGGCAGGAAACTCCATGAGACTCCTATCTCCAATAACCCACCAGAAAACCAGAAGTGGTGCTGTGGCTCAAGCGGTAGAGCGTCCACCTTGAGCTGAAGAGCTGAGGGACAGCGCCCAGGCCCAGAGTTCAAGCCCCATGACCAACAAAGAAAAAGAAAGAAAGAAAGAAAGAAAGAAAGAAAGAAAGAAAGAAAGAAAGAAAGAAAGGAAGGAAGGAAGGAAGGAAGGAAGAAAGAAAGTTCTAGAGTGAGGCCTCAACCTTGCACGATTGCTTTGCCTTTCTTTTTTTTTATTTCCTTTTTATCTTGGAGTGGTTGTACACTGGCGTTGCCACTCGACAAACATAACAGTTGTCCCTTTCGTCATTCTCCCCGCATCCCTCCCAACCCCACCCCTGCCCTCCAGGCCACCAGTCCTTTCTAAGTTTTATCAAGGAGTTATTTTAATTAATCCACCAGGATAGGTGGAGAGAGAGAGAGACAGAAACAGAGACAGAGAGAGACAGAGAGAGAGCACTCCCCAGGCAGGAAATGGGGGCTGGAGACCCTGTCACTCTGTTGTATAGGTTGAGTGCTGTGCCTAGGGGCACCTGCCCACACCACCCCACCCCAGAGGGTCCCCGACACGAGCACGTGTCTCCCCAGAGAAGGGGGAGTGCGTCCCCTGGGAAGGGGGCTCCTTGGGCTGCAGATTGCTGTGTGTGGGTACTGGCAGATTTTTGGGGTGCACACTCACTCTCTAAAAAGACCTCAGGCTGTGCACGTTAATGTCTTCAGTTTCTAGGGGAAGCACGTGTCAATGGACAATTGGGAGAAGCAGCAGATCCTTGCAGATGCGGCATGGACGCGTCTCCACACAGGGGCGGGTGTCTCTCCACTCCGTGGAGTGCGGGCCCCCGAGCCCACTGCGGTAACCGGAGGCTGGCAGAAGCCGTGGGCAGCCCCACGGAGGGAGTTCAGAAGACCCATCATTATGCAAACAGGATAAGAGCTCGCGTCAGCCCTGAAAGGCTTGAGGTTTTCCTTGGCGGCCTCGGCTGTCTCCTCGCAGCTAGCAGGTGCCTCTCGCCCTGCGGGCAGGAAGAGATGGCAGCTGGGGAGACGCAGCTCTACGCCAAGGTCTCCAACAAGCTCAAGGGCCGCAGCCCCCCCTCGCTCCTGGACCCCCTCCTGGCCATGGGCTTCCCCGCGCACACCGCGTGAGTACCGTGGCCGGCTGAGCTCCTGCAGCCCGGCCGGCCAGGCAGAGTCAGAGCCCACCTGGCTCCTTGGACAGAACTACGGGACGGGCCCAGGGCGCTGGCGCCGGGGAGGGTGCCTTACAGCGCAGGCTAGCGTCCCCAGCAGGCCCTTTCTGCTTTGGGTGCACGAGATGATCTTTACCTCTGAGAGACCAACTCCACCGCGGGGTGGACGGGGACCCCAACACAAGCTGGGTTGTCCTGGCTGTCCCCGCCCTGTCCTAGGGGGTTGGAGGAGCTTGAACCTCTTTTTGCAGCCCAGTGACTCTGCAGGTGACATTAAAGTCATCTCAAACTCTACTGTGGGTCTCTAATGCTAGGGCCTTTGGAGACA